TAGCACTTTCATCGGTCACACTAATAGTCTAGCTTTTTCAGAAAGCTTGTTGACATTAAATACTAAAATAATAAATAATAAATTCAATTTTCATTAATACAGCATGCCAAGTGGGTATTTACTGTAGCAGGGTATCCTGATATTGTTCATTTTACTAAATTTATCTGCTTTGGGAACCATGCTCGTGATTAACCTCCAAAGCAGGGGAAGCATTGGAGATGGAAGACAACTTGTGTGTTGGAGAGACTTGTATGAAGGGACGCGAGTCCTTTGGTTTGACTTTTTTTCATTTTGCTATAAAGCTGATTTTCCCATCCCGCCCTGAGTAACTTTGAGTTGCCCTCCCATTTACACATGTACTCTGTAAAGTACAATGCTAGTAGAGAAGATATTTAAAAAGCTCTCTGCATTTAAGATAGTGCTTGGAGCCAGTAAGGGACTGTTCTCAAATGATATGGCAGACAATGCAGAGAGGGTTGAAGTATAGTGTTCTGTTGAACACAGTAGTTAAAGAGTACCGTGTTTACATTTTCAAAAGCTTGGGTGCCTGATTTTCAGAGATTCTGCTGAGAACCCACAAATGCAGCTGAAGTCTGTGGGAGCTGCATATACTCAGCACTTTTGAAAACCAGGCCAGCAGCATCTAAAAATGATCATTCAAAAACTGAGCAAGAAGAGTAGAGAGAGTTTTTGAAAATTTGTCCCTAACTGGTTTGTTGAAAGTCACAAAGCAAGTCAAGGACAGAGTTGTGAATAGAACCCAGCTTCTGGCTCTCAGTCTGGTGTCCTAGCACTACACCCCAGGATCTTCTCAGTGTAGCAACTACCTCTCTCTCTTTCTGAGTTTTCCCATCACCCAGAAAAGGTGCTTATGTGAGCCATGGGCATGAGGCATGCTCCAAAGTCCAATTAAGTCAATAATTATAGCTGCACAAAACACAAATATTGTTTACATTTCAATCCACAAGTCTGACTACAACACCACAGCAAGCTGTTTGGGACACCACTCCCCCCCCCCTTTTTTTTTAATGAATACACATTACTAAAGGAAACCTCATCTTGCTCCTTCTGGCTGATTATGTCAACTTTGTCCCATTCTGGAACATCACTGAAAGCCAATCATTTATATTACATCTCATAAAAAAGAGAGGGAATCAAATTGCAAACAAGTATAATTCACATGACACAATGTGCCAAAAATGCATTTCACCCTGTTTTAAAAACTGAAAATGGAGTGATTTCTGCCCATTTCCTTGATTCTGTGCCTGACAACACAGGGGAAGGTGCACACTTTTATATGGCTGAATGGGCTCCTCTATATATCCCCTATCAGAATTGGTAATTGCATTGCAACACACTTGGCCTTCGGGTCCAATAAAAACAATCTGACTTAAGCCACGTATAACTGAGCCTGCATGTACGTATGAAAACAGCCTCACATTTTTTCTTTTTAATAGCTTATTTCCTTTCACATATAGTGGCCTATTGCTACACATCCTTACTCAGGGCTTTAGTCACACCCACATTACAAAAATTGGAAGGGGAAAAACCCCTTTAGAAACTTCATAGGTCTGACTCTCCTCTATCTTGTACCTTTTGTAGTCACCTGGGCAAAGTCAGCACAAAATGCTCCTAGATCAGAATTCTACAGTCACCTACACTGCTTACAGTGGTTTACATCCATTTTGTACAGGGCTAATTGACTGTGCAAGGTACCAAGCATTGGCAAATCAGGCCCATTGAGTTTCAAGAGATTTATGACAAAAGGAGAAGTCAGGGAGCAGATTTCAAGGTCATGCAGGCCAATCCCTGTGAGTTTTTAGGGCCTCTATGTGACACGTTGGTTCCTTCTATGGTGCTGTGTGGCCACTGGCCAGCCTTCACCTAAGAAGCACAGCTCCCGTAGAAGCCCGGTTTCTCTTGACTCCTCTGACTGTGAAATACTTCTCTCCCCGTTTGATTTGGGGAAAGTGATGAGCAGAAGGCAATGCTGCTAAAAGTAACACAGACTTCTGCATTGGTATCATCCATGACTTTGCATTATGAAATCCAGGGCCTCTTCAACTCTTTGTTTTGCTCCTTCCCACACACCCTGCAATGAAGGGAAATGTAGGGCTCCCCATTTTGTCTGACTAGGACCAAGGATCCTACACTCCCTCAATTACGCGGCACAGAGGGGCGTAAATAAGTGACTAAAACTGCCCCAAAGGAGTGAAAGGGAGGGCCTCCACAGCATGCTCTCCTCCCCCGAAATTCCTGGCATTCCTCCTCAAGTTGACAGAAGGCTTTTCTTAAAATTTCTCACCATTGCTACCACTGGGGCAGCTCATTTTTTACGTAGGCCTTATTTAGACAAGACAACATTGAAGCCAATGGGTGTATTGCTTGAGTAAGGACTAATGGTTTAATCCATGCTCAGGGCAATTAACAAAACTGCTATGAGGTGAAAGAAGGCTGTACATGCCTGTTGCCTGTAAGCTGATTTTTTTATACTTTGTGGTGTACAATTTCCTCATCATTTTTCTCAGAATTGCTTGAGCGAGCGGAAATTTCTCAATGTGAGATGTAATCATTTAGTCTTCACAGGAAGTTGCAAATGGCTTAAATAAATTTAGTTACTTTGACACATTTTCCAGCATACACAACGATTTGGGCAGAAGTTGACTGTGTTTCTAACTGGTTTGGGACACAAACAGCTAAACACACAGTTCATGTCCACACTTTTAATAAGTGGTTAATAGTCAGTCAGTCAATTATAACTGTCCACCACCCCTGCCATCAACTGAATCTGGTGCATGGATTGGTTCCTGTAAAACAAGGGGCATATGGATATTTTGCTAAATACACAGCCACCTAACTGTGTCACTGTAACTGACTAAACAAGCCTGCTCTCCTCCTATAAATCCATACAGTTAGATATACCACAGTACATTTGTGTCATTCTATATGCCTGCCTTTGTGGACTCTAATCACTCATGCATAGGCTATCCTAGAGGTCTTATCTGGCTGTCACCTGAACATGCTTCTCTGGAACAAAAGTTGCTACCATTGATTTAGCTCATGTTGGTACCGTATGTGTCCACATACAGATGTTACTGAAATAACTCATTAGAAATACATTAGGAAACTGATTTAGTGAAGCTGGTGCAAGTTTATGTGTAGAGATGCCCTAAAAGAAATTCCATTTTGGCTCATGCATCATCAAAGGCTTGTTAAGTGAGTTCTAATTGCAGATCCTTTTTCAGTAGTTATATGAGAACCCACTTAGCTTGACATACAGATGCCAGCTCCAGTCTGCAGGGGTGGAAGCCAACAAGCAAACACATCCTAAATCCATCTTGCTCCTTGTAAACACAGCATGTTTGATATGGAAGTCATTAACATACAGAGAATATGGAATCCCACAATGCCATGTTCATAAAGTAACTTTTCAGAGTAGAACCACACCTTAAGGTTCTGAGGCCAACATGAACACACCCATTGCAGTATAGCATTTAGTGACAGGTAGAGAGAAGGCTGCCAAAACAGTTTTCATTATAAATCCCCATTTTCACTTGTTCATAACTTCCTCGGAAATTCTCTTTCTGAGAAACTTTCCATGCTTGATCTCTTCTGAAGGGTGATTTTAAAAAAATGTCAGCAATCTAGTAGAAACTATTCAACATAGACATAATTTATGAAAATGTGTGACTAACAGGTGAGAGAGGAAGTCACTACATTAATTTGATACAGATTATGCATGATAAAAAATGCTCAGTAGATGTCTCGTATATTATGTTACCATTAGAAAAGTACTGTCTTTGAAATGTTAGGGTCCACATTAAAAAGTTTTTAAGAGTCTCAATCACATAGTTCTGTTTATTGTCAAATGAAGTACTTCAAGAAGAGGGGAAAAGCAAATAAAAGGTATATTCCAGTGTAAAATACATGGGGAAGTGATGATTAGTTGTTGTATGGAGGACACTGATAATATATACCAACGTATTAGCTATTGGCTTTTGCATACAAACAAGTATTTCTACTGACAAATTTCACGCTAAGTGCACAAGGAAGGAGTTTCACCAAAAATACTAATGAAGGCTCAGTTGTGGCTATCAGTTTGTTGCTAATAGCTCTCTCTTTCATTTTACAATGTTTAGAAAGACTATAAATAGTAATGAAAAGATAAATGTGTACGAAATTCAAACGGCAAGTTGCTCCTAATGGCTACTGAAGACAGAGGGCCTGATTCTCATTTACACTAAGGCCCCTTTGCACCACATGGTAATGTAAAGAGGCCTTCAAGTGGCTGTAAATTATATTGATGCCCATTTTAAGGCCAGTTTACACAGCAGAGTGGTGTAAAGCAGCTTTAATGTCAATGTGAGTCAGACCCAGTATTTTTCATTATTCTGCAGAATATCGACCTAATCACCTTTTGATTATGCTGATGTACTGGTGAAAAGTATGTTTTGTACAAATATCAGAGAAACATTCATCAGAAGATAAAAAAGGACAGTAATTAATATTTAGCTTTTAAAATAAATATGTACACCATTTACAATATTTCAGAATGTTTCAGAAGATAATATATCCAGAACTATGTGAGAATGCCTAAAAATAACTCCCTATTCTTTTAATAGGAAATGATTTAATATACAAATATATATATATATAGCTAGGGTGACCAGATAGCAACTGTGAAAAAATGGGAGGGGGGGGGGAAATAGGCGCCTATATAAGAAAAAGTCCCCAAAAACGGGACTGTCCCTTTAAAAATGGGACATCTGGTTACCCTATATATTGCAGTTACTTATTTTCCCTTCAGTCAACTGTTCAAAAATTAACAAACAAGGATCGCATGGGACATTATTTTCATCAACCAAGATTCAGGTACCCAATGTCCATATATTGAATAAAGTCAAAAATACTGTACTTCAGCTGAAAATCCTAAGAGTGCTTTCGATGTTGAGAATATTTGCAGCCCATTACTCTGCTGTCATACTAGCAAGTTAGCTTAATGTATCTGATAGTCCTGTCTGCAAAGCTGCAGAAAAGCACATATATCAGTTGGTCTCAGTGATGGTGATCGTCTGTAGCATGTCAGATAGGTTTTCTGGATCTAGCTCTTCTTTGCCATTATCTGAATTTTCCGATAAGATGTAACAGCCAGAATCTCTCGGACAGTCATTTAACTCTGACTTGTTAAAGCTGAGATCAGGGCTTAAGGACAGGGGCTGTTGCTCATTTTCATGTTCTTGTTCAGCTGTAAAAAATGAAAAGGAAAGTGTTATGAACCCCCCGTGAACAACACTTAGATGATTACAAGATTGTTCTTGGAGCACTGCAGAAACTGAATTAGCAAACTGCAGCTCTATTAGAGCTGTACCTTATATCTGTTAGAAATTGAAACCTTAGAAATCAAAGGATTGAGCATTTTCACTACATGATGTCAACAGTCACTGTAGCCCACTTAACATGAACATGATCTTGCAATACATTGCTCAAAGGATACCTGAACCCCGAAGAAGACAAAAGGACTGTGTATTGGTTCAAGGGTCTGCTTGTGCAAAATGCATTGCAATGCTGGGGTCTATATGTCTGGCTCTTCCCCTTCCCTCACTTTCAAAACCCTTTTAAAGACCAATTCAGTACCATCTAACATTCAATGTGCCCTCAACCTTCTGTGATTGATGTGTAATGTATTGTAGCTGCTGTACCTTTAGGCTATAAGCCCCACAGGGCATGGATTTAGGCTATGTCTACACTACGCAGCTTTTAGCACAAAGCTGTGCCACTACAGCCATGCGGCTAAAAGGCACGCAGTGCAGCTGCTGTTTGTCGGCGGGAGAGAGCTCTCCTGCCAACAAAAAACTTCCACACCCAGAGAGCGGTGGTAGCTTTGCTGGCAGGAGAGCACTCCTGCCGACAAAGTGCTGTTCACATCGGTGCTTTTCCTTGACAAAACTTTTGTCTTTTAGGGTGTGTGTGTTTTTGTAACACTTCTGAATGACAAAAGTTTTGTCGTTCACTTGCAAGTGTAGACAAAGCCTTAGTGTATTTATTTACAGTACTGGGTATGTTAACCATGCCATACAATTGCAAGATTTTCAAAAGCACCCACAAAGAGGGCCAGATTTGCCAAAGAGCTCAGTTCCCATTTCAGTACCAAAATGAAGTGGCCAGCTTTTCAAAAGCAATAAGGATCAGATTTTTAAAGGTGTTTAGGTGTTGCTGTGCTCAGCAGTGCAAAGCCTAACTGGGTTAGATACTTAAGTCTCATTTTCAAAAGGGATTTAGGCACTTGGGATTTCAATGGGATGTAGGCACTGAGCCTAACTTTCACTGAAATTCAAAATCCCTTTTGAAAATGATACTTAGGCTTTGCAATGCTGAGTGCAGCAATAACTAAATACCTTTAAAAATCTAGACTTTAGCTTTTCAGTGAGAGTTGCTGGTGCTGAGCATTTCTGAAAATCTGGCCATACCTAAATAAAGGATGAGATTTTCAAAGGCACAAAGTCACCCAACTCCCATTCATGTTGTTGAAAATCTCCCCAAATTAAATAGAAGCAAATTTCTCTTTCAAAACATTTGTCCTTATTTAGCACTTGCATTATAATGAATAATCTGCCAGTGAATGGAAAAAAGACATACAGGTCTGTCGCATCTTACACGCATTTAACATGCGCGATTTCAGCTTTACGCGGTCGGCAAAAACAAAACAAAAAAGAGAAAAATAACAATTTTAATACTGTACTTGTAGTGCCGGCGATTCCGCCTGCCATTCAACTCAATGTAATTTTGACATACGCGGTTTTCGCTTTACGCGCTAACCGCGGAACGGAACCCCCGTGTAAGATGAGACTCATCTGTACTGCCTCAACAGGAAGAAAATAAACTGATCTCTCAACCAACTACAACCTAGTATCTCACTGAACATACCAAAATGTCATGAATTTGATATATATTTGACACAGAGAGTCACTGGTGGTTCACTACTCTACCAGCAACTCATATCAGGCCTGACATACTACACCTAACACACTGTTGGCACTCTGTATCTAAAAGCTGTCCCATAAGGTATCATATACGAACTGGTAACATGCTGGTCTTGAAAATCATGTCATGGCGTATGCATGGGGTGTGTACAAAAGGTTATCAATACATGCTAGAATTGTGTTCTAAACATGCGTGTCAGGCAGGATTATGATACAGAAGGAATGTGGTTCTGCCTACTTGACTGTGTCTCCGATGTAAATTAGGTAAGGTGTGACCAAAGACAAAGAAAAGCACATTTACATACAAGGCAAACAAAGCCATCAGGAGAGCAAAAGGGGAAAGAGGAATAGTCGTAAGAGAGTTATTGTGAAATTTTTATATGTAATGATCAGTTTTGTTCTCAATTAATACTATATTTGTTAATGATGACAGCTTTATAGTGAACATGAATCCTGTGTATTGGAGGTAGAGTAGATTATGTGCATTTACAGAATGGTCATATATAGCATATGTCTACCAGGAGGCTGGGGTCCAGATTGTATTTACAGTGTGCATTGCTGGTGCACCAGGAAGAATTAAGGCTTTGGATGCAAAACCCTCCCTGGAAAAGGCAGGCATGCAAGGAAGATTCATAGATAGTCATTTCAAAACAATCACAATATTTCATTCAAAAAAACTGTAAAAACTGGACATTTTGGCATTGCTGGAACTTTTTTCTTTTTCCTCCTAACCAAAATTCTGGCAAAATCAACCTGATTTCACAAAGCATTTCAGTTTCCAAAGAATTGTGTAGTCTAACACAATATGGTACCATCAAAGTATTTCCAACCAGCTCGAATTGTAATCATCTACCCTGAAACTCCTGTATAACACGTCTGCATCAAGACCATAACTTCTTTTGAGGTACAGATTATCTTTTTAGAAAGCTATCCATTCTTAATTTAAAGACTTCAAGTGATGGAGAATCCACCATTTCCCTATGTAAGTTAATGGTTAACTATCCTCACTGTTAAAAAGGTTCACCTTTGGTCAGATTTGGCATTGTCTGTAACTATTTCATCCTCTCCCCACCTTACAGAGGATGGTTTGTCGTATGAAATTTCACCTCTTTTTGTAGGGAAAATTTTTGGTAACATATCAGGCCAAGTTAATTTCTGGAGTAACTCCAGTAACTTAAATGGAGTTATACCAGGATTATTAATTAATTATTATTATTATTATTAGTTAATCACAATAATAGAGGATACATATGTGATGCCTAACCTAGCTTTTCTATTAGCTCATGCTACATTTCAGCCAATGGCAGCAAAAAACCAAGTCTGCGTGGTCACTGTGTGCTTACAGAAAGTTATTGTACGAACCCTTCCTTAGATGCTGAACTCAGTAGTTTTTCCTATTCCTCAACTGTAATCCCAGGATCATTTACATTACCACTTGCAAGTGCTTTTATCAGCTTCTGTAGAATCATCTCTCTGTCCCCTCAAGCAGTGACCTAAAAAAGTGTTAATCCTGTTTACATCATTATGGTCAAAGAGGAAGCTTTGTCTATTTCTTTCTTTCTTTTTTCAAAGTGAGCAGGAAGAGACAGTTATTGCTGGAATTTTTTTTAATTCCATTTTTTTTTGGTCATCCTATTTGTTTCCTTTTCATTAAAAGATGACTTTTTAACTATGTTCTGAAGAGTATATCTTCTTGTGCACAACTGGATCTGTTGTGGGTTTTTTGCATTTGTGTCTTCCCATCATGTTGTCACAATGACAGATCACATTTGGACCAAAAATGGCAGGAGCTGAAACTTCTGTAAGAGGACTATGTATGCATTTTTCCTCTGGCTTTTGAATTATTGTGTGCTGTGAATATATGGTAGTCTTGGGTAAACTCTGTAACTTTCTAGAAAGCAGAGTATTTGCACACACTTTTTTGTAGCAAAATCAATCTGAGACAAATAAGCTAAAAACTAAATTACTACAAAGACAGAATGGGACTCTGAAGTGGTGCAGCACTGAACTTCACAGTGTCACAACTTTATTATTGCTGGTCAAAAGATGGTATTTTCTGTGGAAAAAATTAGAAAATTTAGAAAATGTTCCAGTGTTTGTTGTCTGAAAAAAATAAAAATATTATTTTTTCTGTTTTTCATTGAATAAATAAAATAAATATTTTCTTCAGGAAAAACAGGCCAATTTTGTCTGAAAAAAATTGATAGAAAATTTTCAGCCTGCTCTGACTATCATGCAGTAAATACAAAAGCTGCCTCAACAGAATATTGAGCATTATAAATATATATGGATTCAGTATAAATGTCAAGTTCTCCTACTCCACAAATAAAAGCTATACTTATTTTTAACTTTTGACTTTTACACCTACTTGTTCTTAACTTCCTGGATACCCTGTCAAGCTCTTTATCATTAAAGGTAAGTTTGTAGGGTTAACCTGGATGTCAGTGAAAGATACACTGCACAGGAAAAGGAATAGATAAAGATCAACTACTGTTAAGTGTTGCAGATTCATCAGACCTCACTATCTGATCAACAAATGGAAGGCGTGTTATTTTTCCTACAGTAAATCAGTTTCATTTCAGATACATAGCTTTCAGTCAGAGCTGTCTAAGATAAGGTTAGAAGAGTCCAAGTATGCAGAATTTTGACACGTGTTCCAATACAGACTTTTTCCAAACTTTTTCTTTTTGCTGTGCCCTCCTTCTCCATGGAAGTCAGATAAGCGCCACACCCACCCTGCCCCATCTCCCATCCCTCTGGGACAGAAACTGGGGTGGTGGCAAGATCCAGCTGCCTCTATTCCCACATGAGCCCATGGCAGCTTGGCACGGAGCAAACCAGGATCCTTGCCCTCCTTCCCCCCCCATCCAGAGCCTCTCGCTCATGCAGGGCCTGGAGGGTTTAAAATATGCAGGGCTGCGGCCAGCCAGTTATCTGGGCTGGGGCAGCAGAGAGAGCTCACAGAAGTCCCCAGCGGTCAGGGAGTGGAGAAGGGGGAGAGCAGCAGGTTACTGCCAGAGCAGGATGGTACTGCTCTTTCCCTTACTCCTCTCCCTGACCAGTGGGGACTCCCTGTGCATTCTCTCCACTGCTGCCCGGCCCTGGTTCAGACCCCTCTGACCTCAGCCCTGCACCCCACCTTGTGCCTCCCGATAACCTCATTGCACCACACAGTTCGAAAACCAATGTTTTAATACTATTTTAAACTAAACTATAGGATTAGACTAAGAGTATTGAGGAAATTTTAGGCCTTAGGTCTTTGACAATGAATGTGTGATGAATATGTAGTTTTTCCACTTGTTAGCTCTTGGAAATTATTATTACTACCACTATTTCGGTGGGTCTGTAGATGTGCATGGAACTTTACAGAACTAGTGAAAGGATACGTCCCTTCAGAAAAGAGTTTATAATCTAAAACCCTGATTCAGGAAAACAATTACATGTATGCTTTAGAAAAAATCCTATTGACTATCAGTGGGACCAGGATTTCAGCTCATGACCACATATACCGGTATATATATAAGTTCAGTTATAACAATGGTGTCCAGCTTTTGCAACCCTATTTTCCAGTTGGATTGGCTGAAGCACAAGGAGGTCAAATGAGGTGTCCAAGGTCACACATTGAGTCAGACGCTCAGGTTGGACTTAACCCCAAGATCATCTTGGCTCCCTTCTTTTGTAGTAACTACTTGACCGAATGGCTTATTTATATTCCTCTATGCAGTTGTATCAATTTTAGTTTTTAACATCTTTGTACTTTAGAGTGTCATGTCAAACCTTGCACATTACTTCTCTCCTCATCAGTCCACTGACAAATACTACTGTGTTATGGCAATCAGTTAAGGTCAGCTTCATCACCATGCTCCTGATTCAGGAGAGCATTTTCCTTGAATGTGTGCTTAAAGTTAAGCATACATAAGTCCTACTGACATCTCTGGGACTTAATAAAAGCTTTATAATTAAGCACATGCTTAAATGTTAAAGGCCCATTCACTATTCTGCTCTTTGAGAACAGCGTTTGACTGAACTGAAATACTCATGTATTCACAGCTGATGTGAAGCAATTATTCATCTCATCCATGGACTCATAGACTCATAGACTCATAGACTTTAAGGTCAGAAGGGACCAATATGGTCATCTAGTCTGACCCCCCGCATGATGCAGGCCACAAAAGCTGACCCCCCCACTTTCCCTTAACTCTGCTGTTGAAGTTTCCAGATCGTGATCTAAAGACTTCAAGTCGCAGAGAATCTTCCAGCTTGCGACCCCTGCCCTATGCTGCGGAGGAAGGCGAAAAACCTCCAGGGCCACTGCCAATCTACCCTGGAGGAAAATTCCTTCCCGACCCCAAATATGGCGATCAGCAGAACCCCGAGCATACAGGCAAGATTCTCTAGCCAGACCCTCATTTTACCAGCGATGGCCGTTATTGCCTAATTGATTAGAATCACTTAATACTCCAACACATCATCAGTAGCCTTGAAACAAGGAGCACATTACAAGACTTATTATTTACAGAACAATTACAAGTATTTCAATTGTTAAACTACAGCACAAATATCCTCAAGTATACTATTCTGCCTGAAGGACAATGGCATAAACCTATGCCGGCAAAGGGCAGGGACCACTCGTGGATGGTAAGGATTAATTAGTCAAGGTTTAATGTAAAGAATATGAAAAGGCTGTGTCAGGTTAAGGATACTCTTCCCTGATCCTTGCACTTTTGCTGGCATGGGAACATGAAGAACATCAAGTGATTAAAAGTAGCTTGAGAAAGATACTAACTAATGTCTGCCTATTACAGAGTTTAGATGCTTAAGGCTGCCTGCAACGCTTGCTATCGTCTGAGTATTAAAAACAGTAAATCATAACTACACCACACCAGAACAGTATTTCATGACTACAGAAACCTGTTAAAATTACTCATACTTTGTACCAATAAAAAATCCTTGTAAAAATATAACTTTAGCATTTTCTATTCCTGTTTTGTTTGTTAATTGTTGATGTAAAAAGTGTAGGATAAAATATACAGAATGTGCAGCATGATCAGTTAGCAACCTAGATATGTACTGATACATAGGCACAATCCAAGGGCAGGTCAAGGGGGAGGGGACAGGAGGCCACCTCCACCCAAACTGCAGGCTAAACAATAGGTATAGTTCTTTCTCCTTTCCTTCCAGGCTCACTCCTCCTCGTCCTCACTTCAATCATTGTATCTGTTATACTGGGAAGGCCCCTTTCCCACCCTCACCACCCTCAGCTGACAAAGGCTACAGGATAGAAAGAAGGACTGTTCCTGATGTGCATCCGTCACCCAGTCCATAGGGAATGGTGAGGGCAGAGAAGGCCATTTGAACTACCTCTCCTGACAGTTCTCATGGAGTCTCTTTTCTTTCCATCTTGGAGGAGGAGAGAGAGTAAGGGACAAAGAGGGATTCAGAGAGACCCAGAGATGGTCTGGGAGTGAGGGGTCCTGAGAGACCCAGACAGAAAGCTGAGGGAGGCTGAGACACCCATGGGTTCTTAGAAACTCAGAGAGGCAGAGTGTGCATATGAGATGGAGGATCCCACTTGGGGTGAAGTTCTGAATAATTGAGCTTTATGTGTTGGAAGTGGCCAGGTGTGTAAGAGTGACTGAGTGATAGAGAGAAATCCACTCCACCTCAGTTAACAGCCAGACTGGGGGGGTTGCAGATGAGCTATTACTCTTGATGAGCTGTAGACCTAGGCCCCTACGAAATCCCTAAAATGTCTCTGGGAGACTTTGCATTCCCCGGTCCCATTTTTTCTTCCACAGGATCCTCAATTTAGAGTGGATATCTGGCAAAGTGGTTGCTCAGGAAGGGCATGACTCTACATTAATGCAGAGCAAACCTCTACGATTTGGTCTGGATGAGTATCCAAATATGTAGCTGTTTAGCTGAAATTTGTAGGAACTTATCTGAACTATTTTGGGTTAGAAATCAGGCTGAAAATATCACAATAGCATGTCTCACGGTCTTGGTACTTCCAAGTTCAGTGAGAGCAGCAAGTGCAAATAAGCATAAAAGGGAAAACAAAACACACACAGAGAAAGCTAATAACTTGAACCTCAAACAAGATCCAGTTCAGGTTCATTTCAAGCTGAGACTACAGATCAGCTACTGTTTTATCCAAACCATTGTTTGCTGATCTGTACTACAAACGCCAGTAAATGTCATGGCTCTCACCAGGGGCTAAAGGGAAGGAACAGTGAATGGGAAGAGAGGATGTTGAAGATCTTCCTTTGCAGGAAGACAAAGACAAAAATGTTTTAATGTACTTCTAGGAAGTAAACCTGGGACATGGGAGATCTAATTTCAATTTCCTGCTCTATCACAGGCGTCACTTAGCCTCTCTGTGCCTCAGTTCCCATCGGTAAAATAGGGATGATAGCCATGCCCTACCTCACAGAGCTGTTGTGAGGCATTCATATACTTCTGGGAGAGGGGCAATAATAGTACCTGAGATAATTTTTCAGGAATTTTTCCTATTTGAGGAAAAAGTCTAATTTGTGGACTTTGGCAGAAGTCACCATTATTTTAAATGTGTTTATGTCTCCAATTAAAATGAGAACATAACATTGAATGTAAGTTTACACACTTACTTTCATAGTCCTGTAGATTCTCAACTGCAGAAAGTAACCTTGCCCTGTCTTCTGGGTTTGTAATATTTAGTTCAATCAAATGGCTGTCCTGTAGCTCCTTTAAATCCTCCAGAATCTCATAGCCATTTAGCAAGAGGGTTGATGAGTATTCCTACAAAAAGAAAAGCAAACAATTCCTTTAGTAAGCAATCAGCAGGTTCAGTGAGAGACATAACCATAATTTCTCTCTTTCATTTTTTTTGTGGAAATGGGGAGAAAAGTCATCATGACTCCTGGAGCACCGAGTCCCCCAATCAACAACATTGCCTCTGGGCTTGTTTTAAAGAGAGCTGTCAAGTTACTGTTCCCTCCCTTGTCCTGCCCATAACACGAGACATCCTGCAATGTGTCTCAGAGTACCTCAGATATACTAACACTTTACATTCAGATTGGGTTTATTTAGCTGAACTGCAGCATTGTTTAATCTATTGCTATCCAGAGGGCCAGACCCTCAGCTGGTGTAAATCAGAGTATCTCCATTGAATCTGATTTATAGCATCTGAGGATCTGGCCCAGTGTCTGTAACACTCCCATATTAATTTGAGAAACATGAGAATTGTTTCATAGAAGACTTTGTGTGGTGTTTCTGTTGGAAAGTCAGGTTTTCTATTTTCGTCAGTGAACTGCTAGAAACTGCAGCACATACCCATAACAGGCATTGCTTAGTGTCTACTGCATAAGATAAGCCATTCTAAAGGTCACAGAATGAAATTAAGTGAATTATTGTCCTTTCCCCCACCCCAATTAGTTATTGTTAAATTAAAGTTGGATTGCCTGGAGGGATAACACTGACACAGAACCAAGAATATGATTCATTAACAGGTCAGGGGGAAAAAAATAACCTTTCAAGACACTAAGAGAGAGTTTCCATTTAGATGGACTTGAACCAAGCCCCTTCATTCCAATACCCCCAAATTTCAGTGCCTAGCCCAAACAGGACAAACCAAAATAGGACAAACCAAAACTCCAGATTCAGTCACCACTAAACTTTGCAAATGTTTGGATCTGGGCCTGACCTTTGTAGCTTGGGTCCCCTTTCTAATTTTAACGTAACATACTTTCTGAACATAGTTTACTCCTATAAAAGGAGAGGGAAACTAAGTCTAGAGCTGGAACCAGGAGCTTCTGTGTTCTAGTCTCAACTCACTGCTATCTCAGCCTGTGACACTGGGCCATTCACAACCTCTCTGCATCTCAAGTTCCTGAACTGTAAAATGAAGATCAGTGGCCAAATTCAAGTCACGTGAGGGATTCATTTGACCCAATAATATTTACAACACTAACATGCAGTAGGAAGTTTTGTGGATTAATTAGGGTTTGCAAACTGCTTTGAAATTGCAGTGTCATATAATACTGTCATTATTATTATTTTATGTCTGTGTCACAATAATTATTCCATTGATAAAACAGCCTAAGAAGCAGCATTCAAATTTTCTGTATCCAGAAAACAATTTGAGTCCAGCTCCATAAGCAGGCTGGGTATTTTGTTTACACTGGTGCCAGCCAGAGGGAGCATGCAGAGAACCATGTAGATGGCTGTAGGACTAATGCATTGTTACTCCTGGTGCCCCCAACTGTGTGTGTGTAGTCCCAGTGTCTGAGTGTGTGTGTGTGTATTCCTGCAGAGAGAAGTGATTCATTCCCACACAAATACCAGTGCCATAACATTGTTGTTATTATTCTTATTTATCATTTGTATTGCAGTAATATCTAGAGACCCAATCAGAAATTGGGGCCCATTGGGCTACGCACACTACACACCTATACTAAAAAAAGACTACCTCTTCCCCAAGGACCTTACCAACTAAGAAAAAGGCATATTACCGGTAAGGGAAGGATTAATGCACTCTCATGCCTCATTTTGCCAACAACCACCCTCGCATCCCCATATCCACTGGCTAGGTCATGGAAGGAAGTAGCATCTTCTGGGCTACTGATAGGATATTTCCCAAGCTGCTGGAGCCTGCCATTTTGGCCCTGGCTTTGATGTAAAAATAAGAGCAAATGCACAGAAACAAAATAAAACACAAAGCTGGAAATGGGTTTGCTGACCTGAAGATGGACCCGTTCCAAAAGTTCCTGCAGAGTTTTAGGTTTGGCCCTTTTGCTCCCTCGGTGTGCCTTTATCTTTCTAGGTGTAGCTTCCGCTTCCAAAATAATATCGACGTAAATGAATTTGAAGTTCCCCACCTTGTTATTCAGCATGCCTGTCCACATACCCATGGGGGTTTTGCAGATGATGTCTATAATGTCTCCTTTCTAGAGAAAAAAAAAAAGCACACCAAATCTGAGGCAGATGATTTGTGATATGTAACCTGTTACCTCAATGGAGCAAGAACAGAGTCACTACACAGACAACGTCGAGCAGAAGCAACATTAGTGCTCAGCAGTATTAACTAGAATGAAGAAACTCTCCTTCCACAACTAGGGAATACTTCTTGATTTACAAAATTCCAGAAAACAATTGCAGAGTAATGTGTGGCAAGATTGGCCCTGGCCCTACAAACCCCTGCAGAGGAGTAAGGGGCAGAAAGTGGACCCCTTTCTTGCTTGTGCGAGCAATACAATTTACATATGGGAGGGAAGTAGCCTCTGTGGAGCTACTATTTTCCTTCCCATGCAGATGGGCCAGCAGTGGGCAGGAAGGGACAGGGAATGGGTGGAGTCTTGGCGAGGAGCAAGAGGGCATTCATAGGGTATATCTCCACTACATAGTTAACCTGGACTCTTACCCAGGTTTTAGCCCAGCTTCCTATCCTGCTCCCAAACCATCCACACAGAAAAACCTCTGACTTGTTTGGAGGGGCTTTAAGCCAGACTAGCTTACATAGCTTGGTGTGGGGGTTAGAACCCAGGCTCTACTTTAACTTGAGCTGGAACCCACCCACTTTGCGGTGAGGATTCAGGCTAAATCACTCAAGTGCTGATAGGCCTCCAATGCCTTGCCCATAGTTCCCCCAAAGGGTAGACAAGTTCTCCCACAACTGATAAAAAAGAATCGTAGAACACCTTGGCACAAAAAAAACATGGGATATGCTCCAGACGACAACAAGCAAGTGAGAATGGTAACAAAGATAGACCTTTGCAGTCAGGGCTCTCACACCTGGGCTAGGCTTACTCAGGTGCTGATCACCCAAGCTAACTCTTCAGTGAAGACAATTCCCTCCCCAGTTTGCTCCTGGGACAGCTCAACAATGCACTGTCCCAGCAGCAAACTCCTTTATTCTGGGCAGTTTGTAAATACACAATCTAGACCTTAATTGTTAAATTATATATATATATATTTAAAATAAATTCTTATATATATATATAAAATTTAAAATAAGAATTTTAAATAAGAATAAAATAAGAATTTACCACGGTATTTCAAATAGTGGTGTGCAAAGCATATGCAGCAAATCTCCAAACCCACCTTGGGTTTGGAGATTTTGTTCCAAACTTGAAATTGATACCCAGTTTATTACAATGTGTGTTATAAATTCTGCAAACATTTTGAGTAAATTTCAGCCAGATTATAGTTTTGCTTTGCAATCATGCAAAGTTCAGGGTTTCACCAGGTTTTGAGTTTGTTTGACCACTAAACTCAGAGGTATGAAACCACATGAAATGAAAGCTAAGGAAATATTTGCCCCCAGCCCCATGAAGCGAAAACGCTACGCTTTTGGAAAGGTCTCATTTCTACATATTGGGAGGGGGATTTGTATCTGAATCCAGATTAGGTTCAGCCTGGGGTTCAAAGCCAACTCAGAGCTAAGGTTTGTGTTTTGATTGAACGGTGCTGAAATTTTATGGGCTGTACTCACAAGTTTTGAGCCCCAAGCAGCAGGCAGCTCACAACTTTAAAGCAAGCTGCCTTAATAGTGAAAAATGTACATGACCTCATCGTTATGCCATCTGATATCACCAAATAGCTGATTTGAAAAAAGACAACAACACTGAGGTGGTTGGGGAAGTAATGAACTAACTGGTGGTGAAAATGATCACCAAGCAAAGGCAGAGGTTGAGGATACAATAGAGTAACAGATAAACTGGGCAGGACTATATCATATAGTGGTTTAAAGGTGACAGTAGGAAGCTTATATTTGATGCAGGGGAGAAGGAGGAGTCAGCAGCATAGCTTACAGGGGTAACATAATCAAAGCAACACTCAAGAAAGATGATTTTGGGAGCAGTATTTTAAATGGACAGACTCAAGATCTGGACACACCCTGGATGAGAGGGCAAACTCAAAAATACTGTGATAGGGTGGAGTCCCATGACTCAGGGTCCCTGCAAAGTAGGTCTGACAACTCTGTATGAACTAGCCCTGTACAAAGGTATTGCTAAACTGACTGTGTCTGTTTTAAAGTGTCATATATCCTTAAAAGTCAGAAATGAACGAACAGACCCCTTCCCTAACAAATGTCTCAGATATCTCTACTGCACAAAGCAATTTTGATGATGGTCTCACCTTGATTTTGAGAGAGTCAGTGTCATAAGGACTCGGTGTGAAGTCGGTGTGCACTTTGGCTCGTCCACAGAATGGTCCAGTGTAAGGGACTTCATCATCAAGTCTAAAGCTGTCCCTGTTGCTGGTTCCATCTGAACAGCTAGTCACTCCACCTAATGGAGAGGAGAATGAAGATTTAAATCCCCTTCCTTGAACTACTAGATATTCAATTTTGTATAGAAATGGAGAGGCTAATATGCAAAGCACAGAATTAAAAGACTGTACTCAGAGAGTTTTCACCCATTCCAAGAAAAATATATTCAATAATCAAACATACTATGAAAGGCTAAACAAAATAAGTTGGAGACCTTTAATTTATTCTGTGCAGTAATCCTTTATGATGCTGATGCTAATAGACTGCTCATTTTACTTATGAGCTTGTTTGAATATTACCTCTGCAGATTAATAATATGTATTTTAAAACTGCAATGTAGGGAATTATATCTGCTGAACTTGTCCTGTTTATTCAGAGAAACTGAAACAAATACTGCAGAAACTACTTTATTTCATTATATTATAAACTAGGACCTCAACGCACCTACATTACAGAGGGAAATTTTAATCTTATCTACATTTCTACCTGTCATTTTATCCAAGTTGGGTAATAAAACATCAGTAGAGTAAGTCAGGCAAATTGAAGCAAGCTCTGCAAAATCCCATCCAAGTATGTTTTTAGATAAGACCAGCAGTGTGTTGGAAGTAAACTCCCATATAGTTTGTACAAATCACATCAGAGAAAATGACCATAAAAATCATTTGACTTGATGTGGTTGTTCAAGTGCACAGCTACAACTCAGGGCCAGACTAACCACTAAGTACAAATGGCCTGTGCCTACAGAACCCACTCAGATCAGATTATATATGCGGTGACACTAGTGCAACATCATCATGTACAGTCTTTGGGGAGCAGTTTGCCTACAGCATGGCATCCAGAAAGGAACCCCACTGCCCCTGGGAGAGTTACATGCCTCCCCAAACCTCCAGTTTATGCTACCTGGTGGGGGGAATAGCAGATTTTTGGTGGGTTGGGAAGGAGGCAGACCTTGGTCCTCTGCTGCCTTTGTGTTGGCTGGGTTCTCCCATCTCCTCCAGAGCAGCAGAGTCATGCTGGGTAACTCCTTTTGGCTAATCCATCTGCAGACTGGGGGCAGTGAGTTCCCAGCCACCCTAAGAGAAGGCTCGTATGTGGGTGACCCTGCAATCACCACTCCACAGGTGATGGGGCCATGGCAGCGAGAGGCCTAGGGCCAGCTCTGACATTTAAGGCTGTTGTATCAATAGGCAGGAAGTCAGGCTTGTTGAAAAGCTCAAGTTTAATTATTGTGGGGTTAAATTTTGGTTCTAATTACGAAAATGGGCAAAATCTGATTCACAGATGGTAAAGCCAGAAGGAACTACTGTACTAACGTACCCTTGACCGCCTGTATAACACAGGCTTTATGACTTCCCTGAATTAACTCCTGTTTGAGCTAGAGCAGATCTTTCAGAAAAACATCCTGATTTAAAAACTGCCAGTAAAGAATCCAGAAAAAGCCTTGGCAAATTGTTCCAATGGCTAATTAACCTCAAGGTTAAAAAACTGCACATTACTTCCAAACTGAGTTTCTCTAGCTTTAACATCCAGCCGTTGGATCTTGTTATAGCTTTGTCTGCTAGAATAAAAATCCTTGTGTTATCAAATTTCTGTTCCCCAGTGCCAACAACTCAAGGCGTATTCAATAATAAATAATAAAGAAAGAGACTGAACAGGACTATGATTTTTTTGTACTTACTAGAAGAGCTCTGGCCACTATTCAAACTATAGAGACTGTCCATGGAGTCACTGGCTTTTAAGCAGACCTTCTCCGTGTGTGTTCCATCCCCAGGGTCACTATGCGAGTAGCAGACTTCTTTTCCTTCTTCATTCTTCAGCAATAAAAATCAGTGGTTAGATGCAGTGAAATAGATTTTATATGCACAGCTGACACGCAATATCTTGTGCACATTTACTTTGGCTATCCACAATGATTCTAAAAAACCCTATTATTACAGTTTAGTTGCAGTTTAAGAAAGCTTCTTTCACTACCAACCATTACAAGGGAGGAAGCACTTTTTGTGGTTATACCATGGGGCTGGGAATCAGGAATTATGGGTTCAATTCCCAGCTCCACAACTTACTCACCCTGTGACCATTGACATGTCACTTACCCTTTCTGTGCCTCAATTTCCCCAGTGACTGCCCTCCAGAAAAGGACACTGGCTAAATTCATCCCTGATCTCTGCAGAATTACAACAGTAGTGAATCTGGCACAACAGTTACATCCATCTGAGGCTTATCAAGGGGAAATCCTAGATAGCCAGATAAGAGACTTTCTGGCTGCTTTGCCTCACCAGAGCAGGGGCCAAAATCTATCCCAAAGTTTTTCACCTTTCATGTTTTGTAAGTTATCTTTGCTAATTTTAGAAGTTCAGGCGGAAAATACAAAATCATCTGAGGCCTAATTCAAAAAGGCTGCCTCTTCCACATACTCAGGAAGCCCATAGGAGCAGGAAGGGAACCATTAGCTGCAACTGCTATGTCTTGCAAAGAGCTTTCCCAGAACCTGGACTCTACTGGCCTTCTGCAGCTAGACCCAAGGTCAGGGCTTTCCAGAGCCAACCTTCCAGATGGGAGTGTGGATGATCAGCTATCACACTCCCTGAGTTGGCTGCTCAAGTCTCATAACAAAAATTCTGCTTTTACAAAATTAACATAGGCCCATTTCCCTCACAAAATCATCTAAGGCCTGGGTACTGGACCTTAGAGGTTATATTATTAAATGCTACCTCTCAAAGCATAGCTTATAGAGTTTGCAAAGATTAGAAAGTATGACCCATGCTTCAGTCACCACTTCATTTAAAGCAGATGTAATAGCTAAATGGAACAATGATGATTTTCAAAGGAAGCTGGTTCTTTACCGTATTGCATTACAATGTCAACGTAGCGTGACATGCTGATGTAACCTGGATATCATATGCCCTGTGGGATATTGCATCAAACTAAGGAAAATGTTAAACATCCGTTATTTGGCTCATAGAGTGGATCAAAGGTGATAGCACATTTGTGGAGTGGGCCCAGGGCCCCTGATGTGGGACTAATCTCTAGAAACTCACTTCCTCTTCCCATGCAGATGCACGTAACACAAATCACAGAAATCAAGGATGACTGGTTTCCAGCAGGGAGAATGCTAGTTACACCATTCTATTGCACCCTGCACTAGTTAATCAGTTGAGAAGCACTGAATGTATTAGTTACAGGGGAAAAGAAGATTGTATGTGTTGTCTGTTTCTTTTGTATGAAGAATTAATTTAACTACACAGAAATAAATGTGGCACTCCTGTTTATTCTTTCTCATAATACAAAAACAACTGGACACATAATGAAAATGAAACTCAAATATAAAACTAATAAAAGGAAATACATTTTTAATGCACAGTATGTGATTAAAATGTGGAACTCACTGCCAGAAGATATTGAGGAAAAAGGTTTAGTTAGATTAAAAAACGATTTTACATTTATTTTTATATATAATAAGAATATCTGCAGTTGCATTAGATAAGATAAAAATGTATGAGGGATATAAACCCTCCTGCTTCAGGACATAAGCCTAACAGGGATTAGAAAGAATTCCTGCATGCAGGTTATTCCATAAATGTCCACCGTGAAAATTCTTCTGAAGCATCTAGTATTGGCCTTGGTCAGAGACAGGATACGAGACTAAATGGACCACTGATCTGATTCAGTATGGTAATTCCAATGTATCTCATTTTGGATCAGATTTTTCCTGGTCCTTACACAGATGGACAGTTAGTGAGGAGTGTTTAAGAAGCTTTCCCCTCACTTGCAGGGCTGTATTCATGGATGGATGGATGGATGCACACACAATCTTTTCACTGTTGGCAAAGCAAAATCTCTCCTTTCCCAATGGTATAAAACTCTCGTCTCTATCCTGGACCCCAGGAGGGTGAAATTGTGCGCACGCGTGTGTGCGTGCGTGTGAGAGGGAGAGAGAATATGCGTACACAGGGGAGGAAAGGTGTGGAGGGAAAGAATTGATATATAATTGAGGTAACTACTGTTTTAATTCAATATCTGTCACTAAGTTATATACACCTGAACTCTGGTACATCAATGCTAGTTTATAACATGCTACCGAAAAACAATGAAATAAACACACACAAAATTTCTAATGTAATTGATCATACAAATCCAAAGATTTTTTTAAGCATATTTACCATGTCCTCAGAGAGTGCCTTGATGTACTTTTTACCCATCTTTTTCTTCATGGTTAGGGAAATGGCCCGCATCTTCTTTCCCAGGCTTCCTCCATTACCTGCCATTTTATTTTGTCCTGGATCTCCAATGTCACTTACAGTCTCCACTTCACATATCTAATTTGAAATTTAAAAAAACCCAAAACCATTATTACTCATGAAAATAAAATCAGATGTAATGGAATGAGAGACTGCAGAGAGATATTTTGGATTCGGGTAAGGTGCATTCAAGTTATTATTAGCAGTTCTTCTAGCTTTAGAACTGTCTGGGGAATTATATGTACACAACAGGCTTGCACTTTGCTTAAGTACTCACAAATGGGATATAGAAAATGCTGTACAAATTGATGCTCACCTTATTTATGGTCCCTGATCCAAATGAGAGTGGTGGGAATTTACTTAACACACTTGAAGACAGAAAGCCACATCTCCAGGATGCTAGCATAAGGCCACTATTGTAGAAGCAGCCCTCTGAAGTGTAGGTTTTCCTGAGTTCTTGCTGCCCTTTCTTTTTTTAAAACAGAAATGACCCTGTCCTTTGCACTACGCAAATATTAAGGGCTTGATTGTGCAAACCTTACTCTGGTTGCTAAGCACTCAGTCACGCAAGTAGTTCCTATTGATTTCAACAGGAGCACGCACGTGAGCAAGTGCGCACCAATGCATGTTTTACACCACTGAACCCTACTGTTTCCCCAACAGTCACAGGGAGAGGGAGTAACAGAAGTAGATTATTGCAACATACAAACCTCAACTGAATCATCTGGCTTTGATACTGAATGGTGCCTAAAACGGTCAAAGTTTCCAAAACTACTTGTGCGCTATAAGACAAAATAAACAAACAAAATTGAGCTCATTGACAATATTCTTTTTCATTATTAAGACAAATACAAATTCTCTCTCTTATGTTAAAACTTCTTTGCCTATGAATGGAACATAACATGCTATTTTCAAGTAGAGACAGACACAGCCTTAGAGGTGCCTATAGGGACAAAATATGAGTGTATATCTGGAGACAAAGCAATCTGAATCAAAGACATTGTTAACAATGCATGGAATTAGATTATGAGTATGATTATAGGAGCTCATGTACACCAGTTTCACATCCGTAGTTTACATTGACTTCAGTGAGTTATCGTCATTTACTCTGGTGGTAAGGGAGATCACAATCAGGCAATTTACATTTAGTATTAAACAACGTAGGTGCTTTGGAGGACACCAGTTCTATTACTGTAGCTGTTCAATTAACTTTATACAGTTTATCCTTCCTACTGGGAACTGCAGCTGAAGACTGTTTAAGGCTCTTTAGTTTGGGCTAGATTCAGTTCCCACTGGAGGCAGCGGAAAGCCTCTCACTGGCTTCACTGGGAATTGAATTGGCCCTTAAGAGAGAGTTCCGAATAAAGAACTTTAAGCTTATTTCTGTGCGGGAACATTACGAAACCAAGTGAAACAAACAGAGTAATCAGTAAGCTCCACATTTTTCAAAAATAGCCTCTAATTTAGGTGCCCAATTTTTAAACACACACGGACTCACTTCCCTCCTGTGCCAGAGCTCTGAGCTTGTTTGGTGCAGGGATGGGTTGATATCAGGGAGCTGGTTGCAGCTCCCTAAGTCTGTATTGCCTGGCCATGGCATTGCAGCAACCAAGGGGGCTGCACTAATTTGTACCACTGGCACAATTGTGGAGAACTGGTATATCAAAGCTCTGCTCTGCCTCCACCATGCCCCCTTATTGCTGCCACACACATCCAATGCTGAGGATAAGGCTGACACTGGAGTTAGCATTGAAGACTATGTCAGCTTTACAGCAGTGGGGAGTTCCCCTACACAAGAGAATGATCTTCTGTCCGTTTCCAGGCAGAATCCTTTCACTTTGCATTGCCTGAGTGGCCAAAGTGTACTGAGCACACAGAATAATCTGGTCCGGTAGCTGTCTAATGTTTATCATCCAAAAATTGAAACACCCAAGTTAGAAGCTCCTTTTGACAATCTGAACCTAATAAATCAACTGCCAGAGTTTCTAGACTTGTAACAGTATCTTTTAAGAGATCAATTTAGGTTTTTCACAGTTATTCAAAACTAAGCCAAGAGCTAACCCTTCTAATTTCTACTCTTACATATAAGATAGAGAAAATGACCTGTAATACACTCACAAGATTATTGCTTGTTTTATTTTATTTTTATACTTTGTGTGCCCTTTTCAGTAGGTATCTGGGTATCCAAAACCTTCCATTTGCATAATTTGGAAGGGAAATGCACTAAACTTAATAGTAAATATCAAACTGCATGAATAGTGTACATTTCGGAATTCTGCTCCAGAAACTACATGTCTTAAAACTTCTGGGTTAAAGAATTGCTCATATTCATTTATCCATTCCTCCCTCACTGTGACTTCAGCCTGCCTAATGGATTGCTTGTTCTCTCTTTTTCTTTCCATCTGGTGATTCTAACAGTCCTTCTCTCCTTCCATCTGCCACAGGTATTTAAAATGCCTGTCATATTTCCCTCCCATCAACCATAACAGGTCTCCCCAGCCGTCTCTCTCTCTAGCTTCTTTAACTTTAAGATGACTTTACAGGAGGCTTTATCAGGTGTGATGTCTGAGGCCTTGTCCACCAGCCTACTGAAGTCTCATGAGCTTCCAAGGCTTCTCCATCAAATATACCTCTGAATATATTGCAGTTTTGTGGAGGAAGCTTCAGATTGAGGTTTCCCTTGAGTGATGTGTAAGCAAAATGAAGGGTGATTAAGGCACTGGACTAGGATTCAGAAACCCAGTGTTCAATATTTAGGTCTGGCACAAACTCCCTTTGTCACCTTGGGTAAGCTCCTTCAGGTGGTATTTCCAAAAAATGTTCCACATTGGAATAACTCAGTTTACATGAAGTTAACGGGAAAACTCTCATTTACTTCAGTAGGAGCAGAATTTGAAAATACCATCCCTTTGAAAAGGACTTTTGAAAATACCATCCTTATTCTCGTCATGCCACAGTGCTTGATTTATAAAATGCGAATAATGCTACCATGAGGATAAATTCATGTGTTTGTGAGGTACTCATATACTACAGTGGTGGGTGCCTTACGAAAACTAGACTGATGAACTAACCCTCGGTGTGTATGTTCTTATATCATCCCATTTATGTGTTATCTGAACACCACTCATGTCCTTTCATGAAGTGTTCTTAAAAGCAGGGGATCTGAAGCTCTTATGGCATTCAACTCTGATGGAGTTGAGATCTGAGTAACAATTTAACCTTATGGTAATTTTCTGAGTGATGATACAGATCTGTACCTTTTTCTACCCATAATTAATAAGCTGCAGTTTACTTCTATGGCTAGGTCTACACTACAGCGGTATTCCGACCTAAGATACGCAACTTCAGCTACGTGAATACCGTAGCTGAAGTTGCGTATTTTAGGTCGGCTTACCTGGTGGTGAGGACGGGGGAAAGCCGACCGCTGCCGCGCTGCCGCCGACTCCGCTACCGCCTCTTGTCGAGGTGGATTTCCGGAGTCGACGGCAGAGCGCTCAGGGATCGATTTTACCGCGTCCTCACGAGACGCGGTAAGTCGATCCCCGATAAACCGATTGCTACCCGCCGGATCGGCGGGTAGTGAAGACGTAGCCTCAGTATTTGTATACTGCCCTTTTCTGGGTATAGTTAGCCCTCTAAGAGTCTCATCAGTAAACTGTCATACTTCTGACTGTTGTACAGGGTGACAAGTTGACATTCAGCGTCAGCAACTGTGATCTTAAGGATGGTGCTCATCAAAATGATACCAACTATCCTGTGTACACATATACCTCCCCTGGGTATTTCCATCTAGGAAAGACCCCATCTTATTCTGTCCCTGCTCATAAATCACAGGGTCACTATCCATTTTAGCTCCCGTATCTCTCTCACACAGTCACTTTTAAACTAAAAATAGTTGACGAGGGAGGGGAGAGAGAGGTGACAATGGAAAACTACAGAAAAATAGCAGGTCTTAAATCTCTATTTTCTTCTAAAGAAAAAAATAATTCAGGATCACCTTTTACACAATTCAGATTAAAAATTCCCTGCTAGCCCAATCCTCTCTTCCCCAAACACATACAAACTATTTCTTATTGGAGCTGGTTAGAAAACAATCTGTGTTTTGGGGGAAATTTTCAGAAAAGCTTTTTTTCACCAAAATATTGTTTCAGTGAAAAGTTTACAGGCAGAGTGACCTCTTCCAGTAATGTGAGGTTGGTCTCTCACTGATCTTCGGTTTATAATAGGGTTCTAGTCCCGAGAAGGCATTCTGTGGCATAGATTTGTTGAGTCTTCTAGCCTGATATCTTGTTTTTTTATGTTATTTTTGTTTATTTCATTTTGATTGTTTTGGCATTAGCTTGGTTTACAAAATTATTACATGAAATATATTTGTATATATTCATTAACTCAAATGCTGACTTAGTCATTTTAAAAAGGTATTTTTTTTTATTTGTGGTGTCTCTTAATTGGTTGTAATCCATCAGAAAATCTGTTGGAGAAAACTACTAAGAATTGGTTAAAGGACAATTTAGTCTGTGCAGTTTAATTTTATTTAAAGCTCCCAGAAATAACTTCTATATTTACTAGATCAACAATATCATATGACAAGGGGTTAGCTCAATAGTATGATATAAAACATAGCCCCAAGGATTATGGGTCTATTAGACAGGATTAACACCTTTCACTGATTTGTCAGCCTTGCCAAATATGCCCCTCAGCAGAGTGGGAGGGATGGAAAGAGGGAGGCTGGGAATCACAACAATATTGGGAAAATATAAAACATTCTCATGCAGTGATCTCTAAACATACAGTGACCTTTCTGTAGCATTCCATCATTTCAAGCTGCCTACTAGGAATAACTGTATATTAAAGTGCTGATGTGCTTCAGATAGTCTAAAAAAGAACAGAGGAAAAGGGTTTATTGTTGCTCTTACTCATAAACAACTTGAGCACAGGGAAATCAGTTATTCTTTTTAGAGCCTTGAAACAACCTTATATCCTATCTGGACAGACGCCTTGGGCTATTTTGTAGTATACCTCAGTGTTGCTTCAGAGCTATTAAATATTAATAAGGGTTACAGGATGATTTCCACCGTTCCAGATAATGGTCTTGTTGCACAGAAGAGCACTAAATAGGGCTGCTTCAGCAATTCTCCCATACTAACTTTTTCCATTAAGTAATCAATAGCTACCACCTTTTAAAATGTATTCAACCCCATTATACCGATAAAGAAAAGCAGATTTAGGAGCCCTGGGCTCGGAGGGGAACAAGGCTATTACTTTTGGTATTGTCAGTCACCGCATTAGTGTCAGGGAACACCTATTTTGTGAAGGCATAGTCATAATCTGTAGGCCTCATTTCCAGGTTAAGGGAAGATCTTAAAGCAAATGCAAATCTACTAGATGAAAATATGTCATTGATTATATCTTATAAAACTAAGTGATTTTGCTGGCTGGATTCACACAAGAGTTACTGATGGGTGCATTAAGCAAATGTGAATTTGCACAATGAAATCTAATGCAGGCATGTGAAAAAAACACCCTTATTTTTCCACAGAAGGACTGTATCATTTATTTAGATTCAGTAAAGGAACATTGCTGGCTTGCGTTCCATTTGCGCTCTAGTATCCAATAAACCTAACGCGAAAAGGCAAACTTATCAAATTGTTTTTAATGACTCTTCTATCTTCTGCTGCTTCTTTCATTCCCAGAAATTTGAGATTTTTTAAATAACCCCTTTAAAGCTGTGAAAAGACACATTTATTTTTATTTTGATCACATTTTTACTTGCCTGCGAGTT